CCAGAAGGCCGCGCAAAATTGAAAACGTCGGAAATGAAATCAAGGCGCGCTGGCTTGCACTCGAGGCCTGCGACAGCATCGGGATGGAATGTGGATGTAGGAGACGCGCCGAGGGCATCCCAAGCGGTGACAGTAAACGCTGGATGTTTACCGCGTGGTGTAGCCATTCTGTATTCGTGCTCTGGAATATGCGTGCAGAGGGTCGGACATGACGTACTGGATGCTGATGGCGCGCCCCGCGCACCTGACGTTGGCGTCGACGCTGGTGGAGCGCGCTTGATGAACAAGCTGATGTCATGAGCAGGTGCGCAATATTCTGTCCGCTTGCTCGCTCGCGCTTGACGCTGGCAGCAGCGCGGTGGCGCTGTTCGCGATGCTGGCGAAGATGAATATATCGGGCGCCGAACTCTCCGCGCGTTGCTCGGCCTCGTGCGGCGCTTTGGCCGAGTCGCGGGGCGGCCCCCGCTGCGGCGGAACAGCTGGGAGCTGCTCGGCCTCCATGCGCGCCGGCGATGCACTCGCAGGGTGCCTCGGGATGACTATGTAACGCCACGTAGACGTCGGCCAGCCAAGGCAAGGCGCCGGCCGAAGTCCCGGACCAAGCTCTCGACCGCGCGCCCGCCCGTCTCGCAGCGCACGCAGCACCCGGGGGCCTCTGGGCGGCCCGCGCCAAGCAGCGCGGGGCCAAGATTGTTCAGGCGCGCGAGCGGCAGCACGCCACCTCAGACTTGAAGGACGGGGTCGCGACGCGGCCCATGCTCTTCGCTTTCTCGCCGCTGGCGGAGGTGAACACCGCCCAGTTGGTTGGATCGACGGAAACCAAGTCCTCGCCGCGCCGATGAGCGATCTCGCCCTGTACTGCATTGAGCCGGGGTAGGCCCGCCACGCTCCGAGATGCGCCGCTGCCCGCGATTGCGCGGCCGTGGCGTTCCTGCGCGCGGAAGAAGCTGAAGGCTGCGAGAGCGCGGAAGTCGCGCTCCTCGATCACGACATTGGGAAAGTCGCGGCAGAACCGTCCGGAGGCGGATTGGCCTGAACCTTCAAATCCATGGTCGGTCACGTGGTCAGGCTTGCCACGCTTGAAGCACTTCCTGACGGGGCCACCTGCGGGCATGGGCTGCCCGCCACCAGGCCGGCGCGGCCCGCGGTCCAATCGAGGCTGCCAGCCTCCGCTCGACGATGATGGTCCGCGGCCCGACGGTCCGAATCCACGATCTTGCCGTTGACCTCCTCCACCTTGGTGTGGTCGGGGAACCGCTGGTGTCCTCGCTGGACATCTCTTTGGCGAAAAGGTGCTCGTCCGCCTCATGGATATGGAAGTCTGGTCTGCTGGCCAGTCGGGTAGTGGCGGCGATTGCCCTTGCTGTGCACCAAGAGGCTGCGGGCCGCAATGAACGTCCGCTGAGTCTGTTGCATCATCATGATGACATCTTGCTGTGTATCCGTCTCGTGGGATTCCTGGTTCTGGTCACTCGGCTCGTTCTCGTCTTCGAAGAAGCCGTCCTCGCGGTAGGCCTGGTCGTCCTCGCACTGTCCATCGTCACCGAAGTCAAACCCGTCAGCTGCGTGAGCATTTCCGGCTTCGCCACGACGGCGTAGCTCGTCCTCGGGTCAGTTGCCAAACAAGGATCCGAATATTTTCTCTCTCCTGTACTTGTGGCCGCTCGGCGAGAGGACGCTGGAACGCTCTGTCGGGCCGAGGCCGCTGCTGTATAAAAGTAAAACTCCACGCAACCCTGTCTCGAGACAGTATTGTTCTGATTATTTGTCTGGCGGGGCCCCTCGTACTCGGTCGAAGGCTCTCTGAACCTTGTGGTCGATTGCGTATTCTCGGTTGCCGTGGGCGACGATGCTCTCGCCCTTCTCGCGGGCCAGCTGGTCGATGCATTTTGCAAGCACCGGCGTGAAATCGAGGGGCACTTGGTTTGCGAGTTTCGCTTCAAGGGTACTGTACGAACTCTGGAGTTCTGCCATCTTGGCCGAGCGATGCTGCTGGAGAACGAGCGGTTGTCTCTTCTGGGCCGTGCCGTCGACGCTCGTCCTTTTTGGTCCCTGGGAAATGGATACGGACGTTGTCAACGTAGTCGTCTATAGTCTCCAGTCTTCCGTGCCAGCGCGGGTTCACTCCGCTTTCTTTCGCCGTGTTGGATCATATTTCCACAGGCGTGCTCGAACAACGTTCACTTTAAACAAATCCGCAATACCAATGAAGTGGAATCGCTGTCGAGGCTGCTGCTGATATGCTGGAACTCCTTCTATATCACAACCTGCGACCGCACATTACAATGTGAAGAGAAAGTCTCCCGCGCCTGAGTCTGAGGTGGCGCCTGCCGCGCCTGCCCCCTGAACAGGAAAAGGCTGCGATACCATCGGCTCAAGAGCTGGCTCTGTATACAGAGCCGAAACGCCAGCAGTAGTCTCATGCAGAGTGCTGGCACATGCTGCTCTCCCGTACTTCGATGCTGGTGCTGAAATGTCCTCGCTCTGAACTTGCAACAACACTTTCCCTCCCTGAGCTTTTTGTTTTCTGGGGACCGCGATAGCTCAGAGCGCCCAAAGTGGCCCGAGATGGCTGTAAGAGGGCCTCCGATGCTCCAAGATGGCCTCCAAGATGGCTCAAGATAGCCGGCGACGATTCATAATAACTTCCAAAATGCCTCCAAGAGGCCCGACGAGGGCCACAAGACGGTTCCAAGTGTTGTCGAATCCCCCTCAGGACCCCCCCAAGACGCCAACATTTCCCAAAAACCTAACGAACGATTCATGAGGTGTGCCTTCTCGCCGTTTCGCTTCTGGTGCGCTTTGCCGGTGCGTTTTGAAGCCTCCTCAAAATGGCCCCAAGGTGGCCCAAGCGAGGCCCAAGAGGACCCCGACAAGCCTCCCAGATGACCCGAAGAGCGCCTAAGATCGGCCCATGCGAGCCCCAAGAACGCCCCAAGAAGCGATTTTGATGGACCCAAAAGAAAGGGGGGGGGACAACATCGAGGACCTCCCCTTTATTGATATCCTCCAAGATGGCCTCAAGAGGCGCTCCAGGGGCCCCCAAAAAACCCGAAGAGAGCCCCAAAAGGACCTCAAGAGGGCCCCAAGACCCTCCAAAAGAGCCCAAAGACGACTCCAAGATCCTCCAAGAGGGCGCCAAGAGGCGATTTTGAGGACTGCCCTCGCTTTGATTGTCCTCCTCCTTCTCCTCCTCGTCCTCGTCCTTGCCCTGATCGTCTTCCTTTTCTTTTTGCTCCTCGTCGTCGTCGTCGTCATCGTCTTTCTCCTCCTCCTCCTCCTCCTCCTCCTCCTCCTCCTCGTCCTCCTCCTTCCCTCGCCCTCAAGCGGGCCCAAGAGGTGGTCCGAAGAGGCCCTCCAATGCCCCCCCTTGCTCCCAGAGATCTCTCTGCTCACCCAGGTTGCCCGCTTTGTTTCACTATATGCGTTTCTTCGTCTCGTTCCCCGTCAGCTCTCATGGGGAAAGCTTCTGAGTTGGCTGGTGGTGATGCGCGAAGCGTAAAGAACTGGAGGCTGGGGGGTGAGGACGAAGCGAAAGGGAGTGCCCCCCACAGGGAAATCAAGATCGGCTTCGTCTCGTGTCGTGTGTGACGTGTGTGCAGGTGACGCTGCGCGAGGGCGACACAAATCCTGGCCCACCCGGGAGTGGCTCACGTCAGACTGCTCCCGCCCCGCTGCGCGCGACGTGGCTCCCAGGATATCCAACGGCTGTCCCGGGTTGCATTGCACCTCGGTTGTGTGACCATTGTCCCGTTGGTTGTCCCGGTGCGTGTCCAGGCGGTCGTCCCGGCTGTCGTCCCGGGCCAGGACGACCGCCGGGACGACCGCGGGGACAAGCGCCTTGCGCTTCTCCCCGCGGTTTTCCCCGCGGTTGTCTCGTGGTCGTCGCGTGGTTGTCCAATTATTGCCCCGTGGTTGTCTCACGGTTGTCCCGTGGATGTCGGGGCGTTCGACCCGTTGTTGTCCTGTGGTTGTCACAAGTGCCTCGCCGTGCTTGTCCCACGGTTGGTACATTGTTCAATCGCAGGATTGATAGGGAGGTAACACATTCTGCACATGGGCTGACGCTAAGATCGGTAGATGGTGAGACCAGTACATCACAAACAATGAGATTGATTGATGGATTGATGACCGGGCCGATGTATCCGCCACCATTTCCCTCTGGCACGGTGAGGCATGATAGGATGCCGAGTCCTGTCTGGTAGGGGTGATGACATATTCTCGAGCCACCCCCTCCCAGTCACGCCTACTACTTGTGCGCACCGCCACCCTCGGCTGCACGCAAGAGTGAACCTAGCTAGCCCAGAGTGACCTTTGGTGCGCGGCTGCAGGGGGCCGCGGGGGAGGCCAAATCCAAGCAAGCCAAGCGCGCCAGCCGATGCTGGTGGGACTCCTGCGTGCCCGCACGAAAGGTCACTCTGGCGAAAGATCACTCTTAGGCGTAGCCGCCCCCCCGCCCCTCTCCTGGGCGGCCTTCGTCCACGGCGGCCCGCAAGTACGAGCGCAAGCGGTGCCACGCAAGACTCTGACTACGCCCACCGAGGCTGCTTGCCGCGGGCAGCTGGGCCGGCGCGCCGAGCAGGGCGCAGCTACTCGGAGCATGGCTCCTCCTTCTCCTCCTTCTTCTCGTCACCCATTCCGCCCCTCCCGCTCGCGATCCCTGCTGCTGTTCTGTACCCCCCGTCCTCTGCTTCATCCACGTCCGCTCTGCCTCCGCCCCCTCCTCCCCAACCTAGGCGAGTTGGCACAACGGCAGCGTGAAATCGATCCCCGGACCACCCCCAGGGTCCAACCGCACCAATGTGGCGGGGTGCGTCCAACCGTGGCGACGAGGGCCCCACCCCTGAAGGCCAACCACCGTGGTCTCAACTCGCCCTCCGCTGAACTACAGCGTGAAGTTGCTCCTGCAGTCCACAGGGAGCCAGCTGCGGTGGTCGCGAAGTGAACTGCTCAGACCAGAACGAGCGGGCAACCCCGCGCACCCCGCCGATTGCACCAGCTCACCTCCCAGCCGCCCTCAACGCCTGCTTCTTCTCGGCGAACCCGACCCCCACCGGCCGCGCCATCCACGGCAACGAGGTCGGAGGAGGCGCCGCCTTGCCGCTGAGGACCTCCAGCGCCGCCTCCCGACGCCCCAGCCTTTCGTAAGCGTCCGCCACTTTCGCACGCAGGGCGGCATCGGGCAGCAGTCCGCAGCGCACGGAGGCCTCGAAGGCGCGGACGGCGTCGGCGAGCCGGTTCTCCCTCTCGCACATGCTGACCAGCATGGCAACTGTGCCCCGTGGTTGTCTCACGGTTGTCCCGTGGATGTCGGGGCGTTCGACCCGTTGTTGTCCTGTGGTTGTCACAAGTGCCTCGCCGTGCTTGTCCCACGGTTGGTACATTGTTCAATCGCAGGATTGATAGGGAGGTAACACATTCTGCACATGGGCTGACGCTAAGATCGGTAGATGGTGAGACCAGTACATCACAAACAATGAGATTGATTGATGGATTGATGACCGGGCCGATGTATCCGCCACCATTTCCCTCTGGCACGGTGAGGCATGATAGGATGCCGAGTCCTGTCTGGTAGGGGTGATGACATATTCTCGAGCCACCCCCTCCCAGTCACGCCTACTACTTGTGCGCACCGCCACCCTCGGCTGCACGCAAGAGTGAACCTAGCTAGCCCAGAGTGACCTTTGGTGCGCGGCTGCAGGGGGCCGCGGGGGAGGCCAAATCCAAGCAAGCCAAGCGCGCCAGCCGATGCTGGTGGGACTCCTGCGTGCCCGCACGAAAGGTCACTCTGGCGAAAGATCACTCTTAGGCGTAGCCGCCCCCCCGCCCCTCTCCTGGGCGGCCTTCGTCCACGGCGGCCCGCAAGTACGAGCGCAAGCGGTGCCACGCAAGACTCTGACTACGCCCACCGAGGCTGCTTGCCGCGGGCAGCTGGGCCGGCGCGCCGAGCAGGGCGCAGCTACTCGGAGCATGGCTCCTCCTTCTCCTCCTTCTTCTCGTCACCCATTCCGCCCCTCCCGCTCGCGATCCCTGCTGCTGTTCTGTACCCCCCGTCCTCTGCTTCATCCACGTCCGCTCTGCCTCTGCCCCCTCCTCCCCAACCTAGGCGAGTTGGCACAACGGCAGCGTGAAATCGATCCCCGGACCACCCCCAGGGTCCAACCGCACCAATGTGGCGGGGTGCGTCCAACCGTGGCGACGAGGGCCCCACCCCTGAAGGCCAACCACCGTGGTCTCAACTCGCCCTCCGCTGAACTACAGCGTGAAGTTGCTCCTGCAGTCCACAGGGAGCCAGCTGCGGTGGTCGCGAAGTGAACTGCTCAGACCAGAACGAGCGGGCAACCCCGCGCACCCCGCCGATTGCACCAGCTCACCTCCCAGCCGCCCTCAACGCCTGCTTCTTCTCGGCGAACCCGACCCCCACCGGCCGCGCCATCCACGGCAACGAGGTCGGAGGAGGCGCCGCCTTGCCGCTGAGGACCTCCAGCGCCGCCTCCCGACGCCCCAGCCTTTCGTAAGCGTCCGCCACTTTCGCACGCAGGGCGGCATCGGGCAGCAGTCCGCAGCGCACGGAGGCCTCGAAGGCGCGGACGGCGTCGGCGAGCCGGTTCTCCCTCTCGCACATGCTGACCAGCATGGCAACTGTGCCCAGATCGGGGGCGAGCCCGCTCTGCGTCATGGCGTCGAAACTCTTCAGGGCCTTCTCGGGGAGCTGGCCCCTCTCGCACGCGCTGATCACCGCGCCGTACGTCACGGCGTCAGGCACGATGCCCCGTTGCCGCATCTCGGAAAAGCGCTCCATAGCAGCATCAGCCCTGCGCTCCTTTGCCAGCGCTGAGATCAGTGAGTTGTAGGTCACCACGTCGGGCGCGATACCTCGCCTCTCCATATCCTCGAACGTCCTTCGGAAAACACATGCTGGGCCCTAAACAGTGCGTTTGCAATATAGTTTGCGCGGCACATGTCGTGCAGCATCTGTTGTGCAATGAATGTTGCGCAATATACGTTGGGAAATCTGAGATGTGCAATCTATGTTGCACCAGTTAAGCTGTGCACCTTGTGTTGGGCAATCAATGTGGGGCGATCCAAGGTGCGCAACCCATGTGGTGCAATGTATGGTATGCTATACATGTTGTTCACTGTGTGTTGTGCAACGTACGTGGTGCAGTCTAGACTATACCATATGTCTGATTCCATCTATTATAGTGTGCAGTCTGCGTGGAGCAAAATATGTGGTTCAGTTTGTGTGGTGCAACCTACGTGGTGCAATATATGTTGTGCAATGAGAGTGGCGCAATCGATGTTATGCCGTATATGTGGTGAAATATATGTTGTGCAATTACTTACTGCTCCCTCGTGAGCTTCTTTCCCACTGTTCGCGCAATCGCCCCACCCGCCCACCCGCAACTTGGTTTGCAGAACCCGAGCGGCGGCGATTGCGATGATTACTTGGCGTCGGCTGGCGTACCGCTGCGGCCGCACCAGCACGCGCAGTCTCGCGCGCATAGCAGCCACCAAGTCTGGTGCGACCGACGCGGCCGCGGTAGCGCTGACCGCTGGAGAATTCCCAACGCATCTCGCTGGCTGCGCTGATGCGCGGGCACTTCAGTGCCAGGCGGTGACTCGGGCGGGCGCGGTATCATGGCGACGCCGACAAAGACAGACACGATGATGATAGTGGCGATGCTGGTGACGATGACGATGACGACGGCAAGGCCAACGACGGCGCCGATGCTGACCACTCCGGTGAAGATGATGATTGTCACGCGTCGGCGCTAACGGTTTTGGATGGATTTCTACATGTGCGCGCGGCTGGCACGCGCGAGTGGCGCATGGTGTTATTTGACAGGGAGCGCGCCCCCACCCCAGAATGAACGTAAGGGCGCTCGAACGATTCCGGCATGCGCGTTTCGAGAAGCCTGTTGGGTCACATTTGATGAACCTGTTGAAATCCTTGTGGTTTTCATGAGATTTGGCAAGCGCGTATGAAAACAAAAACATCAGCTTGCAAAACCATTGTTGATTCTTTGTGTTCGGGAAAATCGAAAGTGAGATCCTTGCGGAACCTATGGCTTTTGAAAAAAAGAAAAACATGGGCGCGCGCGACGACGCGCGCGTGTGGACCTTGTTTACTTGTGATGCCAAAGGTTCTTGGAAACTGAAGTGTTTTAATAAACGGGTGCGCGCGCATAATGATATTTGACATGGGCGAAGAGTGGCTAGGCAATGTCGGGCCCCCTTGGGATGCTATGAGCTCACATTCAAAATGAACGATGGGGCGGAAACGTATGTAAACTGTACGATCCCAAGGGGTACTGGTAATTCCGGGGGGAGGTCCTAATTCCAATCTATGTGGAACAACCCATGTGGTGCAATGTAGGTGGCGCAACCTATGTTGTGCAGTATCTGTGGAACAACAGGTGTTGCGCAATATATGTTGTACGTAGCACCCCGCAGTTGCGGGTAAGAGTGAGGGGGCGGCGGGGAAGTCGGCAGTCTGCGAGGCTTTGAAGAAGCCCGCCGCAGGCGCAACATCTTTCAAGCTTTACAGCGAGCCCGCCGAAGGCCCCGATTTTGTTAAAACAATGTAGGGGGTCGCGGGTTCGGTCGCAAGTGGGTCGCGGGTGGGTCGACGGTAAGCCACGGGTGGGTCGCGGGCCGGGTCGCGGGTGGGTCGCGGGCCAGGTCGCGGGTGGGTCGCGGGTGGGTCGCTGGTGGGTCGTGGGTAGGTCGCGAGCGGGTCGCGGGGTGGATCGCGGGTGGGTCGCGGTTGGGTCGCGGGGTGGGTCGCGGGTGGGTCGCGAGGTGGGTCGCGGGTGAGTCGTGGCTCGGGTCGCGGGGGAGACGACGACAACATCGACAACAACAAGCAGAATCCTCACCACGGATCCGCAGTTCAGCCACGCACCCAGGGACAATGAATGACCGTTCGGCCCCCTCACTCTGGCATTCGATGCTGTCCCATGTAGGCGGTACATTATATGTGGTACATTCTATGCTGTGTACTTGACTACCCTGCACCGCGCCTGACCACCTCCACTGCTCGCGCAAACATCCCACCCACCCGCCCGCAACTTAGTCGCAAAACTTCTTAAGACAAGACCGTGACGGTAGGTACCACATGGCATTTGGCCACGACGCCGACGCCGACGACGACAGCGACAACGGCGACGACGGCGCCGCCGACACCGACTACGACGACACCGCCGACAACGACGTCGACGAAGACGACGACGACGCCGACGCTGACGACGACGACGAAGACGACGACGACGTAGCCAACGAAGACGACGACGAGGGAGGAGGGAGGACGACGACGGCGACAATGACAACAACGACGATGGAGGAGGGAAGACGGCGACGACGCGAACGACGAAGAAGGAGGAAGGACGGCGACGCCGACGACGACAACGACGAGGGAGGAGGGAAGACGACGACGACGACGACAACGACGAAGACGACGACGACGGCGACGAAATAGCAGGGACGACGACGAGACGCCGACGACGGACGACGACGACGAGGACGAGTGAGGAGGATAACGACGAGGGAAGACGACGACGACAACGACGACAACGACGAGGGATGAGGGAGGACGGCGACGACGCGAACGACGAAGAAGGAGGAAGGACGGCGACGCTGACGACGACAACGACGAGGGAGGAGGGAAGACGACGACGACAACGACGACGACGACGACGACGACGGCGACGAAATAGGAGGGACGACGACGAGACGCCGACGACGGACGACGACGACGACGAGGGAGGAGGAGGAAGGACGACCACGGCGACAACGACGACGGAAGCGACGGCGACGCCAAGACGACGACGACGACGAGGAAAGACAGAAGACGACGACGGCGACGACGACAACGAGGGAAGAGGGAGGACGACGACGACGACGCAAGAACGCGCGCGCACGCTTTTGTTGAAAATCCGTGTTGCGAAACCTTATGTTTTTGTAGGTTTTCTGGAGGCACGATTTTGAAATCCTTCCGAAACCGATGGGTTTTCAAGGTTTTCGGCATGCGCGCGCGACGACGCGCGCGTCTGCACTTCGTCCCTTTTTTTGCAGAGGATTCTCGCGACGGCACACGCGCAAGGGCGTTCGACAGATTTCGACATGCGCGCGCGAAGCCCGTTTAATAGCATGTTGAGAAAATCTTGAAGCACCGATGATTTTCTTAAGATTTCGCAAGAGCTCGCGCGGAAGCTTTTTTAGAAAATCAGTGTTGCGAGACCCTGTGCTTTTGTATGTTTTTTGGGAAACTCGATTGGGAAATCCTTCTGGCACCTAAGGTTTTTGAAGGATTTCGGCATGCGCGCGCGACGACGCGCGCGTGTGCACTTCGTCTCATTTCTGTTGCAAGGGATTCGCGAAAAAGTGTTATGTTAGAACAACAAATGTCACCGCATAATGTTTTTTTTTTTTTTTTTTTTTCATTTTTACCAACGAACCTCAGGGGGGGGAACCTGGCCCCCCGGGGATAGCGTAAATTCATATTTGGGATGGACATGTGGTCATAATCATATGTGATTTACAAACCCAAAAGAGGGACCGATAACGCCGGGGGGGGGTAGATCCTATATATATATATATATATATATATATATATATATTTTTTAAAAAAGGAGAACTGATTTTTACCCATGATTTGACACATCCCACGCTCTTGCAAACATCCCACCCACCCACCCGCAACTTGGTTTGCAAAACTTCTTAAGGCCGACTACGACGACACCGACGACAACGACTACGACGACACCGACGACGTCTCCGACGACTTCGACGACGACAACGACGCCGACGCCGACACGACGAAGACGACGACGACGACGCCAACGAAGACGACGACGAGGGAGGAGGAAGGACGACGACGGCGACAACGACGACAACGACGACAACGACGAGGGATGAGGGAGGACGGCGACGACGCGAACGACGAAGAAGGAGGAAGGACGGCGACGCTGACGACGACAACGACGAGGGAGGAGGGAAGACGACGACGACAACGACGACGACGACGACGACGACGGCGACGAAATAGGAGGGACGACGACGAGACGCCGACGACGGACGACGGACGACGACGAGGGAGGAGGAGGAAGGACGACCACGGCGACAACGACGACGGAAGCGACGGCGACGCCAAGACGACGACGACGACGACGACGAGGACGCGGGAGGAGGGAGGACGGCGACGACGACGACGACGACGCAAGAACGCGCGCGCACGCTTTTGTTGAAAATCCGTGCTGCGAAACCTTGTGTTTTTGTATGTTTTATTGGACACACGATTTTGAATTTCATCCGAAACCGATGGGTTTTGAAGGTTTTCGGCATACGCGCGCGACGACGCGCGCGTCTGCACTTCGTCCCGTTTTTTGCAAAGGATTCTCGCGACGGCACACGCGCAAGGGCGTTCGACAGATTTCGACATGCGCGCGCGAAGCCCGTTTAATAGCATGTTGAGAATTCCTTGAAGCACCTATGGTTTTCTTAAGATTTCGCAAAAGCTCGCGCGGAAGCTTTTTCAGCAAATCAGTGTTGCGAAACCCTGTGCTTGTGTATGTTTGTTTGGAAACTCGATTGCGAAATCCTTCCGGCACCGAGGGTTTTTGAAGGATTTCTGCATGCGCGCGCGACGACACGCGCGTGTGCACTTCGTCCTGTTTTTTGCAAGGGATTCGTGGAAAAGTGCTATGTTAGAATTAAAAATGTCACCGCAAAGTGTTTTCCACAAGGGAACCTCAGGTGGAGAACCCGGTTGGCCTGGGACGCTGTGATTTCATATTTAGGATGGACATGTGGTCAGACTCTTATATGATCTACATACCCGAAAGGGGGACCGATAACGCCCCGGGGGGGCGGGGGGGGAGTCTATTCTCTTTTTAGAAAGGTGCCACTATGTGGTACAACTGATTTCTACCCATGATTTGACACATCCCACGCTCTTGCAAACATCCCACCCGCCCACCCGCAACTTGGTTTGCAAAACCTCTTAAGACCGACTACGACGACACCGACGACAACGACTACGACGACACCGACGACGTCTCCGACGACTTCGATGACGACAACGACGCCGACGCCGACGACGACGAAGACGACGACGACGACGACGACGCCAACGAAGACGACGACGAGGGAGGAGGAAGGACGACGACGGCGACAACGACGACAACGACGACACGAGGGAGGAGGGAGGACGGCGACGACGCGAACGACGAAGGAGGAAGGACGGCGACGCCGACGACGACAACGACGAGGGAGGAGGGAAGACGACGACGACAACGACGACGACGACGACGACGGCGACGAAATAGGAGGGACGACGACGAGACGCCGACGACGGACGACGACGACGAGGGAGGAGGAGGAAGAACGACCACGGCGACAACGACGACGGAAACGACCACGACGCCAAAGAGGACGACGACGACGAACACGAGGAAAGACAGAGGACGACGTAGGCGACGACGACGACGACGACGCGGGAGGAGGGAGGACGGCGACGACGACGACGATGACGATGACGACGCAAGAGCGCGCGCGCTCGCTTTTGTTTGAAATCCGTGTTGCGAAACCTTGTGTTTTTGTATGTTTTTTGGACACACGATTTTGAAAACCTTCCGAAACCGATGGGTTGTGAAGGATTTCGGCATACGCGCGCGACGACGCGCGCGTTTGCACTTCGTCCAATTTTTTGCAGAGGATTCTCGCGACGGCACACGCGCAAGGGCGTTCGACAGATTTCGACATGCGCGCGCGAGACCCGTTTTGTAGCATTTCGTGAAAATCTTGAAAAAAACTATGGTTTTCTTAAGATTTCGCAAGAGCTCGCGCGGAAGCTTTTTCAGCAAATCAGTGTTGCGAAACCCTGTGCTTGTGTATGTTTGTTTGGAAACTCGATTGCGAAATCCTTCCGGCACCGAAGGCTTTTGAAGGATGTCGGCATGCGCGCGCGACGACGCGCGCGTGTGCACTTCGTCCCATGTTTTGCAAGGGATTCGCGAAAAGTGTTATGTCAGAACACAAATGTCACCGCATAGTGTTTTTTCCCCAGGGAACCTCAGGGGGGGATACCGGCTGGCCTGGGACGCTGTGATTTCATATTTAGGATGGACATGTGGACATAATCACATATGATTTACATACCCGAACGGGGGACCGATCACGCCGGGGGGGGTAGAGTCTATTCTCTTTTTAGAAAAGAGAATCTATGTTGCGGCGACGGGGCGGCGACGGCGGCCACACAGCCGCCAAAGCGGTAAACAAGCCCAGACGACGGGCAGCGACGAGGTGGCGACAGGGTCGCGACGACGGCCACAGATCCGCCAGAGCTACAGGCAGGCTCAGACGACGGGCGGCGACGAGGCGGCTGCAGGGCGCGACGACGGCAACATGGCCGCCAGAGCGGCTGACAGGGCCAATGCCTTAGAAGAGAAATAAAACCCCCTGAGTGCAAGACACTGTTGTGGGACAAACGGCATGACCATAATCTGTCGGAGGTCTGGGCGGATTTCTCAGGTCGGCGCTGGACCCCCCCTCCCTGGCGCGCGGAGCGCGCCAGGGGCGGCGCTAGAGGCGCCGCCAGGGGGGCCCAAGACCGATCCAAGGGGGGCCTGCGAGGAGTTCCGACAGCTCATGTTTCTGCAATCTGTGGATTCCTCGAGTCCTGAGGGCATTCTCCGCCTGCCCACCCTTGTCGAACGCACTGATCAAAGCGTTGCACGTAATGACATTGGGCACCAGACCGCGCTGCTCCATGCTCTCGAACAGCTGCATTGCCTTCTCTGGCATGCGACCTTTCGCACAGGCGCTGATGAGGGCGCTGTAAGTGATGACGTCAGGTGCCAGGCCCTGCCGCTGCATGGTAGCAGAGAGCTCCAAGGCCTTCTCTGGCCTCCCTCCCTTCTCGCACGCGCTGATTAGGGCATTGAAGGTGATTACGTCGGGCTTGAGGCCTTGCTCCTCCATTGACGCGAACACCTGAAACGCTCGCTCGGTCTGACAACCCTTCTCGCAAGCGCTGATCAGCGCGTTACAGGTGACGGTGTCGGGCCTAACACCGAGCCGCTGCATCTTCTCGTATAACTGCATCGCCCTCTCTGGCTGCCGTACCTTCTCGCACGCACTGATCAACGAGTTGAAGGTGATGATGTCCGGCGTGAGCCCGCTGCCCTGCATCTGGTCGTAGAGCTCCATGGCCTTGTCGCTGAGACGCCCCTTTTCACACACGCTGATCAGAGTACCGAAAGTGATGACGTCGGGCTTCACGCCCAGTCTCTTCATGTCCTCGAAGAGGTCCAGCGCCTTTTGAGGCTGGCGGCTCTTCTCGCACGCGCTCCGCCACCGTGCCTTCGGCACGCTTGGGGCGTGTGGGAAGGCCTGTTGGCTGCCTGTACAGATGTCTGAAGACTTTCTGGAGGACCCAGCTCTTCGGGGCAAGGGGGAGGATCGCGCCCCCCCCTTGTGTTGCTTCTGGGCGCTTTAGGGCTTATAAAAAGGACCACAAGACTCCTGCAAGTTGAGCCAGGAACAGCTGGAAACAACCCAACGGACTCCCAATGGCTCCGAGATGCTCCCCGAAGACACCAAGCAGCAACGAAGCGACTCCCAGAGGGGCCTCAAGCGAGGCCCGAAAAGGCCCATCACCTTGGAAAGCAAGGAGATTCGGCAGGATTTTGCCCTCGAGGCTCTTCGGCAGACGACCGTATCGGGAAAGCTTCAGAGAGCCCCGTGGAGCCCCCATGACGGCCCAGGACGACTGCAAGAGGGCTCAAAGGCGACCCCAAGTCCTGCACAAGACGGCCCCAGGTTGGTTCAACCACGCCTCTTTGGGAGAGCTCGGTGGAACCACCGCGCCCAAGACAGCGCCGCGACCCCCGCCAGGTCCCCGAGAGGGCTCGAAACGCCCAAGATGCCCCAAAGAAACCCCCAAGAGGTCCTTCAAGAACAGCCCCCCAAAAGTGTATCGGAACAACCATGCAACCCTCTGGCGCCGCCACGCTACAATACCATAGATCCGCTTCCTGTAACGTCCCCTCGTAGATCTTCCAAGCCTGTTCGGATGTCGGTGGAACAACCCTGCGCGCGTTTGGATGCTCCGCTGGCACGGTGGCGGCGTTTGCCACAGGCAGCTCGATAATCAACACATTGTAAGTGATGGTATTGGGCGCGAGGCCCCTGGCCTGCATCGTGTCCAGCAGCAACAAGGCGCAATCAGGCTTGGCGCCCCGGGAACACGCGCCGATGAGGGCATTGAAGGTTATGACGTCAGGCGCCACGCCTTCCTTCCGCATCAACTCGAAGAAGGACATGGCCTTGTCCGGCTGCCTGCCCTTCGAGCACGCGCTGATCAAGGCATTGTAGGTGAAGGCGTCGGGCTTTAACCCGCGTTCCCTCATGGCTTCGAAGACCTTCACGGCCTTCTCTGGCTCGCCGCCCTTCTCGCAAGCGGTGATGAGGGCGTTGTGGGTTATGTTGTTGGGTACCAGACCCTGCATCAGCATCTCCTCAAAGAGTTCAAGTGCACGCTCGGTCATCTTTGCACTGGCACATGCGGATATAAGCGAGCTGTAGGTAATGACGTCAGGCTCCAAGCCCTCCTCCTTCATCTCCTGCAGCAGTTCGAGGGATCTCTCGGGCTGCCCGCCCCGCACGCAAGCGCTGATGAGCGCGCTGTAGGTGATGACGTTGGGCTGCACACCGCCCGCTCGCATCTCGGCCAGAATGTCCAACGCCTCCCTCCACTGTTTGCGCTTGCCCAGAGCCGAGATCTGCTGCGTGTACCAGCGCACGCCCAATCCTTGGCATGAGGGCAAGGGGCCCAAACGGTTCCTAGACTCCGCGGCTTCCCCCAGAGCAAGCTTTTCATCCCGAACTGTTTTCTGACGGTCCCGCGGCCTGGGAGGGGCCCCAGAAGGCCGATCACGCTATAAAACGCAGGACCCTCCTTTCCCCCCAGGAACGGCATTCTTCTCCACTCGATGATCCTCAGAACGTGTGTTAGCGCCAACGTGTGCTGGGCCACCGACGCTCTCCAATACGACGCAGGTCGGTGCGGCGGGGTCCGACACAGGCTGCGCGCTCGCTATCGGCGGAGCTGGAGTGGACATGTCAGTCTAAGAACTATAGTAAACCTTTGGGGCCCGTGATAATACATGTTTGAGCGGCCCTTTAACCCCCGGGAGCGCTGCTCTCCCCCGAGAATGGTGGATGGGGGTCCTGACCATTCTAATTCCGGCACAAACGTCAAACACACGTAGGGAGCCCACGAAAGACGTACGCGCCCAACCACGTACATGAATACGCCCCCCCAGTCCGCGAGACCAGCCTTTTCGTATGAACGTTCGCGCAATGCGTACTTTCAAAACCAGCGTGAATCTATGTACCTCTATGTGTTCTTTGGCGGCGCGATCGGGGGGTAGGGGGGGTAGGGGGAGGGGGAAGGCCTCTTAGAAGGAGGCTGCTTCCTAGAAGGCGTGGGCCTTACATCTACAGATCAGGCGACCTCTAAGAAGCAGGGGCGTCTGCAAAAGCCTTCCCCCCTCGCCCTGCTCCCCCATCTGCGCGTGGCCGGCTCCTTCCGCCCCCGAGACCACGCCATGAGGACCATCGATCCGTGGCGAACCTCGCCCTCGGTGCCTGCGCCCTGGCCGCGGGGCCTGCTGGTGCCTCCCCCCGCTGGCGGCCTGCGCTCCGCGCGGGCCCGCACGGTCTGCGCCCGCGCCGCGGGGAAGTCGTCGCGGGTGTCGGCCGCGTCCGACGCCGCCGCCCAGCGGCGCTGGCCCAGCTTCCCGGCGTGCGGCTTCTCGCCTGGGCAGACGCCGCCCATACCAGTATCGGCTCAGGATACGATTCGATGATCCTCAGAACGTGTGTTAACGCCAACGTGTGCGTGTCCACTGAGCCCTACGACACGACGCAGGCGTTGTAATGAGAGCCGAAGTGGACAGTGTGCTTTCGGCGGAGTCGAGCGGGGCAAACACACAGTGGGCTAACACACGTCCTGAGGATCATCAAACGTTCCAGGATTTCCAGGGCATCTAGCAGCCCTCGTTTCTGCAGCCCGTGTGCAGCAACAGGACATCGTGGGAAATCGTGGAACGCATCCTTAACATGACCTCTTGCTCTGCTGGCATGCGCCAGCGCCGACCCCCGCCCGGCCCATCCTCGGCCCCTAAGGCCCCCAAACATCTTGGCGCGTGCGCCCCCGCACCCCCGCCCGGGCTCGGCCCGGACGGCGAGCACGGCGACCCTCTGGGCCCAGGGCTGGCCAGGCCCGGATCGGCGCTGGGTGCCGAGCCCGCGCCCCCCGGTCGCCGTCCGGGCCCTCGAAGGCCGAGGGGTGCTCGTCGGCCTGCGGCTCGTGGGAGGGCACCGGCAGCGGGCGCCAGGCCCGCACGCCGCCCGCCGAGGCCCAAGCCTGGGCTGCGGCCCCCTCGGGCGTGCGGCGTGCTCGCGGGCGGCTGCCCGGCTGGACGCAGGCGCTCCGGGCCGCCTGGGGCCGAGGCGCCGCAGGCGGCTTCTTGGCGCCCTTCCTTCCCACAAGGATCGCCGCGACGTAAGCTGCCATCCCGAGGAGGGCGCACACGACGTGGGCGGTCTCCATGGGCAGCACCAGGCCGTACGCCACGCCCCCCAGGAGCCCGAGCTTCTGGGAGGTGGTGCTGCGGCTGGCCTGGGCAAAGAAGCTGTCGACGCTCTTGCTGATCCTGGTGGACATCTTGCCCACACGCCTGCAAGTCGATGAACGATGGATGTTGTGCAAGGGTTTTTGCACGAGCTTGGCTTGAAGCCAATACGGATGAGTACGCAGTGTTCGCTGTTGAAGTTCGCTGTCACAAGCTAGTTAGACACAATCTCTCAAATATTTTGAGCCAAGAAGCGGCTGTGGTGGAGGAGGAGGGGGAGGGGGAGGCGGAGGAGGAAGAATAATGATGATGAGGAGGGGCGGTAATAGGAGGCAGGGAGGTGAACGCAGGAAGGATGAGAAGCGGAGGAGAACAACAAGCATGAGGCGAAGCAGCTGGGGGCAGGTGGTGGAAAAGAAGGGGAGGTATAACAGGAGGGGGATCAATCGAAAGCGTGGCCTGCGCTGCTCACACAGCAGCCTGCTTCTGTACACAAGGTGCTTTGGGCAAGAGAACCTAGACAGGCACAAGGTAGAAAATTAACTTCGCATGCTCTTGTCAAGGGACTTGGCTCGAGCATATAACAAGGGGACCAATTGCATTCAAGATGGCGGCCCAGCTACGCCTCAATCTCCTCCTTGTCCTGCTTCGCCTCCCTTTCCTCAGCCTCTCCCTCTTCCTCCCCCCAGTGATCCCCGAAGGGTTTCCCCAGCGACTACGAGAACGACTGCTCCTCCTTAGCGCGAGCTTCACGCAATAGTTCGAGCAAACTACCACCGCCCGACGAATTTCGAATCCCTACGGCCACCCAACACATGGCAACGATGCCACTATACGGGCCGGCGGGATGAGCGAAGCGATTAAAAATGTCAAAGTTAGTATGGGAAATTGAGTCTTGCCAAACACACGCTCGAATCTCTCTCTCTCTCTATAAATATATAAACACTGGGTCCTCTACATTCAGAACCCACAAGAATCCATACAAATCCCTCCACCCAAACTTGCGGGGGCTGACAATGTGGTTGAGGCATCCGCTTGTCCCCCTTCCCATTTCCCCCCACCAAGGCCCAACATCTGGCTCAAGGGGGGTGTCCCCATACGAGCTCACTAACGCACCTCCAAGGCCCTCGGAGCCTCCAACTCCACCCTCCGTGACTTCCAAGATGCCCAGAATTCTTTCTACTAAGCTGGCCCAAGCTGGGCTTCAACGTGCCAAATCCGCCTCCGTGCCGTCAGCACGCAGTGGAGCGCCCCAAGGCTCATGCAGCCTTGATAATAAAGAAATGTACGGCTTCAAGGACCCGGGCCACCAATTTCACAAGGATTTCCGTGCATTCCCGGGGATTCCCGGGGCGTGTCACGCGCGTCCCCGGGTAGCGCAACCCGCCCAAGAGGGCCCCAAGACGGTCCAAGAGAGCCCCGAATCGCCGCACGATCGGTCCAAGACGCCCAAGATGGTCTCCAGTCGGCTGAAGGTGCCCGAGGCGTCCCAGGAGGCCTCCGGTCGCCGTCCCAAGAAGGCTCCAAGAGGCCAACATCATAATGTTTCCTTAGGTTGTTCAATGGTTGGGGGGCCCTCGACGCTTCGAGTTTCTAAAGCTCCATGAAGGCCCAAGAAGCCCCCAAGACCGCCCCAAGACGGCCCAAGAGGCCCCCAAGAAGGCCCCTAGACGGCGCAAGAGGGCCCCAAGACGGCCTCAGAGGCGCCAATGACGGCCCAAGAAGGGCCCCAAAGGGGGAACACGAACGGAAAATCCGAGTCTTCCGCCCAAGGATGTTCCAAGGAGGCGCCAAGAGGTCTCCAAGAGGCCCAAAGAGACCCCCAATAGGCGCCTAACACGCCCCAAGAGGCCCCAAAACAGTTCCCCAACGGCTTCCAAACGGCCCCCAAGAGGCCACCCAGCGGCCCCTGGAGACATCCCAACGAAGATCCTAGAGGTCGATGGCCCACAACCCAGGCACGGTGGCGGGAGGGGCCTATAGCCATTCGACCTGCTTGGCACGGGGACGGAAAACGCATTTACTTTCAGAGCGCGAGATGTCGCTGGCTTGCCCGTGCTTTCTCTATGTCTCCCCGTCCTAATGCTCTCTGAGGGCATCTTGGTGGCATATTTGGGCGCCCTCTAGGGCTATCTAGAAGCCGGGGGAGGCCTCTTGAGGGGGAAATAGGGCGTGTTGGTATCTTGGGAAGGCCCCAGAACGCATGAAACACGAATGAAGATTATGATCGTAATGTTGATGATGAATACGACGGCATACTGTGTCTTGGGAGCATCTTGGGCCTCTCCCGGGCTCTCCTTGGGCCGTCGTGTGGATCTCTTAGGCCGTCTTAGGGCCCTATTGGGCCGTCCTCATGCCCTCTTGGGAGCCTCCCGGGCCGTCATGGCACAATCTCGGGGAGCCCTGGAGCTGTATCGGGGTTCTTGCCCGAAAAGGCGAGAAGCTGGAAAACCTCCACAAACCTGAAGGAAACAATTGTTTTGCGTACTCCAGCACTTTTGGGGGTTCTCTCGGGGGCCGCTTGGGGTGTCTTGGAGGTCTCTTGGGCCGTCTTGGTAGACTCTTGACCTCTCATGGGCCGTCTTGGAAGTACCTTAGGCTGACGAGGAGCTTACGTGATTACGCGGAGCTTACGCGCTTACGCATAGCTTACGCGAACGTACGACTTACGCGGAGCTTGCGCGGAGCTTGCGCGGGCTGGGGCACCCGAAACGGCCGAAGAGGCACCCAAGACAGCCTAAATCAAATCAAACATACGCTACCGAGGAACCCCACATACTTATATGAAGGCTGGAGTGGTGGTAGCTGAAGTGAAGCATGTGATAATGATGTTGATGGCCGTTGCCCCGCCGATACCGTTGGCGACGCCGATCACCAACGGTATCGGCGGGGCAACGCTGGCATGAGCCAAGGTGGCTAACAAATCCTGGTGATGACACCACTCACCTCGCTTGCGTTCCCCTGTGCCTTGAGCACGACGGGCACGGATAGCAAACTTGCACGCCGATGGGCCCTGAGCACCACCGTCACGGATAGAGGCCGCCCTCAGGGACCACCCCCATGCGCGCCCCCCTGTGGTGTCGAGAACACGCCACGCCTGCTGTGCCCTGGACGACCGTCACGGATAGCGGCCGCCCTCAGGGACCACCCCGTGCGCACCCCCCGTGGGGTCGAGACTATGCCACGCCTGCTAGGGCAAGGACGACCGTCACGGATAATGGCCGCGCTCAGGGACCACCCCGTGCGCACCCCCCGTGGTGTCGAGAATCTGCCACGCCTGCTAAAGCAAGGACGACCGTCACGGATAGCGGCCGCGCTCAAGGACCACCCCCTGCGCACCCCCTATGGTGTCGAGAAAACGCCACGCCTGCCGTGCCCAGGACGACCGTCACGGATAGCGCCCGCGCTCAGGGACCACCCCGTGCGCACCCCCTGTGGTGTCGAGAAAACGCCGTCACGCCTGCTGTGCCCTGGACGACCGTCACGGATAGAGGCCGCCCTCAGGGACCACCCCCATGCGCACCCCCCTGTGGTGTCGAGAACACGCCACGCCTGCTGTGCCCTCGACGACCGTCACGGATAGCGGCCAAGCTCAGGGACCACCCCGTGCGCACCCCCTGTGGTGTCGAGAAAACGTCACGCCTGCTAGGGCCATGGACGACCGTCACGGATAGCGGCCGCGCTCAGGGACCACCCCGTGCGCACCCCGTGTGGTGTCGAGAAAACGCCACGCCTGCTGCGCCCTGGACGACCGTCACGTATAGCGGCCGCCCTCAAGGACCACCCCGTGCGCACCCCCCGTGGGGTCGAGACTATGCCACGCCTGCTGTGCCCTGGACGACCGTCACGGATAGCGGCCGCGCTCAGGGACCACCCCCATGCGCGCCCCCCTGTGGTGTCGAGAACACGCCACGCCTGCCGTGCCCTGGACGACCGTCACGGATAGCGGCCAAGCTCAGGGACCCCCACCCTGCGCACCTCCTGTTGGCGCGCATCTGTTGCGCGGTGTGCGTGTCATGTGTTTGTGTGTTTGCGTGATTGTGTGTGTGTGCTGTGCCGTGCTCTGCAATGCTGTGCTGTGCTGTGCTGAACTGTGCTGTGCTGAACTGTGCCGTGGTGTGCTGTGCTGTGCTGAGCTGGTCTGTGCTGTGCTGTGCAGTGCTGTGCTGTGCTGAGCTGTGCTGTGCTGAGGTGCTGTGCTGTGCTGTGCTGTGCTGTGCTGTGCTGTGCTCTGCTGAGCTGCGCTGAGCTGTGCTGAGCTGTGCTGGGCTGAGCTGAGCTGTGCTGAGCAGTGCTGTGCTGTGCAGTGCTGTGTGCCAATGTGCTGTGTGCTGTGCTGTGCTGTGCTGAGCTGTGCTGTGCTGTGCTGTTCTGTGCTGCGCTGTGCTGCGCTGTGTGAGATGGCGAAAGAGGAGGGGTCAGGAGGAGACGCGGGTGCGACGCGGGAAGGAAGAAAACCATAACCCCACTAAACATGTGGGCACATACAATGAGCTTATACTCCTGGGGGTCCTCTCGGGGGCCGCTTGGGGTGTCTTGGAGGCCTTTTGGGCCGTGTTGAAACCATCTTGGGCTATCTTGGATCGCTCTTGGGCCGTCCTCGGGCCTGTCTGGGCCTCTCGTACGCCGTCTTGGAGGTACCTTAAGCTGGCGAGGAGCGTACGCGCTTACGCGGAGCTTACGCGAACTTACGCGGAGCTTATGCGGAACGCACGCGCCCGTTAGGAAGGACTTCCATGTGAACGATGCCCTGACCCCGCTCAAACACCCATTCACAAAGAATTTACATGACAACAAATTCCATGTTAACGAAACCCTGACCCCGCTCGGGCACCCGTTAACAAAGAATTCCGTGCAATGTCCCTGTTAACGGGTGTCTGAATCAGCTTCAGCACCCGCCTTTCCACATTCAAGGCTCCGTGGACAAGGAGAACGGGCCATTCGACCTGCTTGGCACGGGACGGAAAGCGCATTTACTTTCAGAGCGCGAGATGTCGCTGACTTGCCCGTTCTTTCTCTCTGTCGCTTTGTTTGGAGGCTATGTTGGTGCATCTTGGAGGCATATTGGGCGCCCTCTAGGGCTATCTCGAAG